ATTAGAGAGAAATCGGGGTTTAATTGCTCTAAGAAATTCAAAACCTAAATCATTCTCTTAGATTGTAGAAAAAAAATATGAATTGTATTTTAATTAAATAAATTGTGATTAAAAGGAATAAATATAGGAATTTAGATACTCATAAAAATTAAGATAAAAATTATTATCTAACAAGTGTGAACACAATTATAAATAATTTTTTAAAACATGAGTACGGAGATAGATATTATAATATTCTAACAAGACTTTACTCGTTAATGTCTATGCTTCAATTTTTTTTAAATGTGAATATGAGAATTTTAATGAAATAAAATTAACATTAATTTAGTATGAGAATTTTTTTAAAAAAAAAAAGAGCTTACCTGCACAAAATAGAAAAGGGTTAGGTTTGAAGTGTTTTTTTTATTGGATCTCGCATAAACTTATTATTTACTTCAAATTAAGTTGAATGACCCATATTGACAGCTTTAGGCCCCCAAGACTTTTTGTAGCAATACAAAATCTATAAGAGGGAGTTCTATTATTTGATTGGTTGTGATTAAGATGTTTAATTAAAATTAAGTTTAATGTAGTGATATTTTAGGATTATAATATGTTCAATTAAAATTTTATATGTGGTCTTGTAATATTCATGTAACATTGTATAAAATTATAATACTAAAAATAATTAAAATTATTAATAATAATTATAATAAAATTTTAGATTTACTCGTTGAAGACGTAACTTTTAAATAAAATTCATTGTATTCAAGCTCTAAATTATGTGATAAGTGATATACTAATTTTTTTTTTAAATCACACTATCAAATTATAACTTTTGATTGTAAAGCAACCTACGTTACTATACAATACTGGAAGAGTACAAATAAGATATAGGTAAATCTATAAATTATTAACCTTAGTTTCTTTTCATTATAGACTTTTCAGCTAAGGTTTAAACCTTAATTCACTTTAATTAAATACATATATTAAATAAATAGACTATTTAAATTAATTATTTGACTTACTTGTACACTTCATCTTAATCATAATTTATTCTATTTTTATTAAAAACAATAACAATTTATTTTAGTTAAAAACAATTATTAGATAATTCTAACACATATTATATCTTATTGTAACACAGAAAGACAAAAAAAAATAATAAAAAATTAAAATATATTTAAATCGACTTAAAGAAGAGAAACAAACAAACATAGATGATTTGAGTCGTGAATCAAACATGAGTTTTTATGTAAAATTGAAAAAAAATACTATGGCAAACATTTATTATCTTATAATTAAGTTTAAAACAAAAAAAATTAGGATAAAACTTAGCTCCAATTATCTGCGCACTGTTTATTAACTAAATTTAAATTTTATTTTAGAGATAACATTAATTATTTTTAAAATAAAATTCTAATTTTAATTAGTTAACAACGCTATAAAACAGTACACAAGTTTTCTCCAAGAACCTATTGCTTTCTGAATATAGACTGATATTGGTTAAGGAAGAGACGGAAAAATAACGAAGAACCAAGAATTAAAAATCAGCCTCAGAAAAATGATGAGCTGTGGTACAATTTTTGAAAAGCTGCATTCTTTAAGGAGTTCATATTACTTCAGAAACCACAAAATTGGAACAATAAACATGTGTCTTAGCTGATGTACTTAGGATTTATGAGCCAAAATTCTAGAAACAAACTAAGAAAACAAAAACAAGACTGAAAGAAGCCCGGGTTCTAAAACTACACTAATTAACATAATCGTTTGAATTGAAACAAAACAAGGCCAAAAATGCAAGATTAAAGGAAAATGAAGCACAGAATATTGTTATTACTTGACTAATATTATTTAAAATAGCTAGAGAAAATTCACACAGCAAGTTTTTCGATGAACAGATCACCATAATTGGAAGAATAATTCAAATTGATAGTATTGTCGGCAAAATCAACACTTTTAAGCTAAGTTAAAGAAACTCAAATGTTAATTTGATAGTGGTGTTTTATAGAAACATACGTGGCCAGAAGAAATTGTACACATTTCCAGATAATATGCTTATAGCCGAAAATGGTTGCACTGATAACCATATATACAACCTGTTGAAGAAAAAAAAAGAGTGAAAGTAGAGGAGATTAAGATTAGAATGCACTGGTTCGGTTATAAGAGTAGACTAAAGTTACTAAAACAAAACAGATAACTTGGAAACAACTAAACTAGAGCAACAAGAGACTTGCAGAAAAAGCCACAGAAAATGAAACATTGGTGAAACAAAACAATGACCACGTTACATACCATACCCGAGCAAAACAATAGAGAACAAAGTTGGTCACAGAAAATGAAGCATTGGATGAAATATTAATTATCACATCTGCGCCCAAAATACCAATAACTTGTGGAGAGTGGGATTTGAACCCACGCCCTTTCGGACGAGAACCTTAATCCGGCGCTTTAGACCAACTCGGCCATCTCCACCTTACAGTGTTGAGATATTTATGCGATATTAAACATTATTCATGCATTGCGGCATCCACTCCTCACCACTTTAATTTAAATTGAAAATGAGCTAAAATCTCTACTACTAAATTGTGGACAAGCTAAATATCGAGAAGTTTTTCATTTTTTTCAATTTCTTTTTTCTCTAGTTGACCAATTAATTTGAGGACAGCATATTTTCGTACAGCTTAGTATCTTGGAAGAGTAATTTTGAATTGAGATGGAAAAAAATCATTCTAATTAATTATAAATAAATGTTTCTGTTTGAGAATAATAATAAAAATAAACCAATTCGATATGATACTTTACAATTTTGATTAGATCATTTTTTTTTGTATTTTGCTTTATTTTTTTTTAAAAGAGATACAACTTTAATTTTTTTAACAAATAAGTGAATAATCATTAATTAGAGAATGAATAAAGTTTCATATTATTATATAAATTTTTTAATAGCTCATTTTAATTTAAGAGGCATTTTTTATCAAATAAAAAGCCAATTGTTTAATAAATATGAAAAAAAAGGTTAAAAGTATTAAATCTCATCATAAATCAAAATAATCTCAATTTTTTATTAAAAAATTCAGGTACATTGAATAAAATATATTTTTAATTTGTGTTTATATAACATGATTTTATAAATCTATACTGTGCATACAATAGGAATAGGTTCATTGATAACTAGAAAGTGCTTTAATTTTCACGATTATAAATCCTAGTCATAGTTAACAGAATGAGTCACAGTTGTCAATTCGATCAGTTTGACCAAAAAATGGTCAATTCCAAAAATTTAAAATTGGTAGAGTTAAAAATAGGTCAGGAACCAATTAAATTAGACAAAAATAGGCCAAAATGTAAAAAAAGAAAACAGGGAAAAAATTGGGTTGAACCAGTTTTTTATTTTTATTTTTTTGTTGAATTTATTTTTTTTAAATTTAAACTAAATAAAAATTCATACACGATATATATATATATATATATATATGGTTATTGTTTAATATTTATTATAATTTTTTATCTTGTAAAACATGTAATATGATATTTCTATACTAATTTAAAATTACAACTTATTTTTTTTATAATTTTATATTAGTTTACCACTTGTATCATATAATATTAAACATATATTTTGTTATTTCTAATTTGGTCTCAGTTCAATCATGATTAAACCAAATCCATGCATGAACTCGTATCTTCGTTGGTTCAATGACGAGTTTGGTTTCGAAGACATTTCTTTTGGTATCCTTTATATTAAACACATCCTCAAACATTACTATGAGTATGGCATTCAAAAATGTTTAACTCATACAGCATAAAAGAGGTATGAAATTGGTGAAAAGAAGGAAAATGAAAAGTAAGGGATATAATAGATTAATATAAAAATTAAAATTATAACATAATTAAGATGTTTATATACTTGTTAGCATACTTTAGCATGAATAATACTATTTAAAGTCTATTTCTAGTTATTGTGTTTTGATTGAAGATTATTAATTTCTCAGAAGAACAATAATTAAAATATATATATTTTTATTGTATAAACAAAATATTAAGCCATGATTTTAGTTTTATGTGAATTTATATAGCCGAAATAACTATTTAAAAGAATTAAAATTTAAAAAAAAACATATAATATTCATTTGTTATAATCAGAAATAATCTTATACTTCTCTTGAATTCTTTTACAAATAAATAAAATTAATTATTATTTTATTTGTGAAAAGACCTTATCTAAAGATATCGCTGTAAATTTTATAAATTCAAATAATGAATTAATAAATATATTTATAAAGTCTGAAAGAGATTCTCATATGAGAATTTCAAATTAAGTATATATGATTTATATACTCAACTGAAAAGATAATATTATATATATATATATATATATATATATAAATATACTATTTATAGAAGTTAATATTAGTTATCTCAGATAATTGCACATTTATTCTTAATTATGTAGTTATAACCGTGATTTCTCTTGATAATATAAATACCCATCCGGTAGTGCAGTCACAAGATCCGCAGAATAACTTGTGAGATTTAAACAGTGTTCTACGTTGACTTGCGATCTTTATTGTTGAAGTCTTATTCATGGGTAAGGGTGCGTAAGTTTGTAGAATGGTAGATTTAGTTAAACAAAAGAAAGTGGTAGCCGAAAAGAAAAATGAGATGCGTGGTATATGGCAAAATTTGTGTGACGTTGAATACTTACCCCATCGAGGAGGAGTCCAAAACAGGTTTAATTTTTTATTTTTACTTTTGTGGTCTGAGTTGCAAATGACAGGAAGGGTATACAAATAAATATCAATAACGTTCATATTAAGTGAGATTCCTACTTCACAGGTGAGGGGATATGGACCCTCTCCGTTAAATTTTAACACGAGCGAAATTGAACCTATCTATGCTATCTTATCCAATTATAATTTAAACACATATTTTATGTTATTATTTTAATTATATATTTTCATGGGTGTGATCTTATCTATCTGAGCTATCACAAGTACTTCTCGTTTTGACCACCGTAAAAGCCAGCGTAAACTAGATCATTCCCTCGCAATTTCGTAGGTTCAAAAACCTTTTCCAGCTACACCGAGTCACCGACTCGAAAACCACTCACTCGCTCACGCTCTCTCTCACTCAACTGAGTCTCCGTCGCTCCGACTAATCAGTGTCACTTTCGATGCCATGAATTTGAGCTACGAACAGAGGCTTCAGGTTGTTGCAAAAATCATACTCGACAGCGACGCACGCTCTGGCGACGCGCCGCCATGTCAGGAAGAGTTTGGGCTCACGGCAACGCTCAAGCCCCACCAGGTGGAAGGGTTGGCGTGGCTCATACGGAGGTACAAACTCGGCGTCAACGTTGTCCTCGGTGAGATATACCCTTCGAATCTTCCTTTCAATGTGTTTGGTTGCTCGGAATGCTCGGATACTGAAAGATACTTTAGATCATCGTTTTCTGGTTTTCTAAATTTTCTGGACAAAATCGAAATTCATTATTCCCAGTGAGACTATAGGCTCGGTCTTCAATTTCGCTGTGTTTAACTGCATGGAATGTTTGAAATTTGAAAGAAAATGTGGGATTTGGATTAGTTATTGGTCCGCCCCAATGTGTGCCAATAACTTTATGAAAAATAAGTGAAGGATTATAAATTTTGGTGCAAAGGTGTATTTTAGCACTCCAAAATATAGCAATATTCTTTAGCATACCATTATTGAATGAGTTTTATGTGGGTTCTACTAAAAAATGGGTCCACTTTCTTTGTGGCACTTAAATGGAATTCAACCAATAATAGAATGTATTGGAAAAAAGAGTATTATGGACATGTTTCATATAGTCACATAAGTCATCATGCTATTCCTTCTTTTGTAAATACAACAAATTGGTCCTTCAATCTCAAATTATACCGTCAAACTGAAACTAATGGCATTATCATTGAAGGACCAAACTTGATATTTAGTATAAACGCAGGATTCAAGGTAATGTGAATTGTGGAAATACTTTGAAGGTCTAAAACAGATATTTAACTCTGAAAGTATGGTTATGAGTTGGGTTTATTTAGATAATTTAAGAGTTTGGTGAGGAGGAACTTTGTTTCATGTTATATGAACCTGAATATATATTGACATTTGAATACAGTAATGTATGTTGTAATCGGGTGGACTGGCCAGTGAGGCTCCCACTTGCTGGGATCTAGGGAGAGGGTGAATGGATGCAGCCTTACCGCTGCAAGTCAAAAGGCTGATTTCAAGATTTGAAACTTGTGACCAAGTCACAAGGAAGCAACATTACGATAGCGTCTGTTAAAATTGGATATCTAGATATTCGAGAGAAAAGAAGAAGAACTGAATGTTTTATTATATCTGAAAAACGAGAAATATACGACTATATAAAGCCGCTACATCAAAACAAATAACTGCAAAGATCACATTTATATGCTTAGACGTGATCCCTGATATCATGGAACGTATGACTTATTCTTCCTAAATAATAGGAATATCAAAGCAACATAATAACAAAACAAAGCAGTAAACCTAACATTTCCTCCCTTAAACTAATGCTTCCATACTAGTTACTCCAAGCATAATTCGCAATTTCTCAAACAGCTCCAGCTTTAAGGGTTTCGTCATGATATCAGCAAGCTGCTCCTAGGAGTTACAAAAATTGAGTTGAACTACCCTGTTATTAACCAAATCTCGAAGAAAGTGGAATCTCACATCAGTGTGTTTGCTTTTTCCATGGAACACTGGATGCTTAGATAGTTGTATAGCAGAACTGTTATCACACATAATTGCAATTTTAGACTCGTCTTTAACTCCAATCTTCTTAAGTATCCTTCCAAGCCAAACACATTGGCAAGCACATAGGGTTGCTGCCATGTATTCAGCCTTGGTTGTGGACAATGCAACCACAGTTTGTTTCTTAGATGCCCAAGATATTGCACCCGTTCCCATCATGAACACAAAACCCGACGTGCTCCTTCGATCATTCAAATCTCCAACATAATTGCTGTCTGTAAAGGCTAGTAGTTTTAGATTATCAATTCCCTTTTTGTACCAAATGCCAAAATTGATTGTGCCTTTGACATACCTTAAGATTCTTTTTGCAGCAAGCCAATGTGTTGTAGTAGGACTGGTCATGAATCTACTTATTAAACTCACTGTATACATCAAATCAGGCCTTGTAACCGTTAAATACATCAAACTTCCAACTAATTGTTTAAATAACGTTTCCTCAACTTTCACTCCTTCTTTGTTTGTTGACAACCTCGTTCCTGGAACCATAGGATTTTTCATAGTATTACAATCCAACATTCCAAATCTCGACAATACCTCCTGTGCATATCTTCTTTGACAGATAAATGTGCCGTTTGGGCTCTGCTTGACTTCAATGCCAAGGAAATGACTCATCATACCCAAATCAGTCATATCAAAATGCAACATCATAGAATGTTTAAACTCATTACACATGCTTCGATCATTGCCCGTGAATGTTAAATCATCAACATAAAGACTGACTATTATTATTTTACCTCCTTGTGACTTAGTGAACAGTGTGTGTTCACTAGAACACTTTTCGAATTGTTCCTGTGCAAAGTAGGCTTCAATTTTGTTGTACCAGGCCCGTGGTGCCTGTTTGAGGCCATACAATGCCTTCTTCAGCCGATAAACCTTCTCTTCTTCTCCCTTTTTTTGAAATCCTTCGGGCTGCAGGACATACACAGCTTCCTTGAGTTCCCCATGTAGAAAGGCACTCTTTACATTAAGCTGAAAAACTGTCCAGCTATTGAGCAGCTGTGGCCAATATTACTCGTACAATGTCAAGTCGAGCAACTGGTGCAAAGACTTCGGTATAATCAATCCCATGCCTCTGTGCATATCCTTTTGCTACCAACCTTGCTTTGTATTTCTCCACTTGCCCATTAGCATCCAATTTTGTTTTAAACACCCACTTAACTCCAATTGGTGTGACTCCATTTGGTAATACAGTGAGTTCCCATGTGTGATTCCTTTCTATTGTTTCTATTTCACTCGACATTGCCTCTCTCCAATGTGTACTCTCCACAGCTTCTTTGAAAGTGACTGGGTCACTATCAGTCATCATCAACATTACATTTAAGCAGTCTTCTTCGGAAATACCTTCCCTAGTTTCATAGTCTTCCAACCATCTTGGTGCTCTCCTTACACGTGCACCCCTCTCTGGAGATATTTCATATGATATATCTCCTATGTTGTCTTCCTCTTCATCTGCATCTTCATAGTGTAGTTTCTATTGCTAAGTTTTTGATTTACTCCAGTCCCAACTTTCTTCTTCTTCAAACACCACATCTCTACTGATGATGACCGATTTCGAAATCAGATCATATAGTTTCCAGGCCTTTGATTCATCACTGACTCCTAGAAAGATACATGCTTTGCTTTTGTCATCTAGTTTAGCTCTCTTCTGATCTGGTACATGAGTATGTGCTAGGCAACCAAAGATTTTAAAGTACTCCACCATAGGCTTCTCACCGCTCCAGGCCTCCTCTGACGTCTTGCTTTCTATAGCTGCAGTTGGACTTCTATTCTGAATATGCACACACCATTTTACAGCATCTGGCCAGAACATCTTGGGAACCTGTTTTTCATGCAACATAGCTCGGACAACATCCATAATAGTCTTGTTCTTCCTTTCCGCCATGCTGTTTTGTTGAGGAGTGTAACAGGTGGTCAACTGTCTTCGTATACCTTCTGAGTGACAGAACTCCTCAAATTCATTTGAAAGAAATTCCCCTCCTCTATCTGTCCTGAGACAGGATATACTTGTTCCTATCTCCTTCTCAACGCGAGCTTTAAACTTCTTAAACATTGCAAGTGCTTCTGATTTTTCACGTAAGAAATACACCCAGGTTTTACGAGTAAAATCATCAATGAAACTCAAGAAATACTTCTTACCACTGTGTGAAGCTGGCTTGATAGGACCACAGATATCTGAATGAATCAGCTGCAGTTGTTTGGATGCTCTCCATGTATTTTTGCTAGGAAAAGGACTTTTGGTCTGTTTCCTAGTTAAACATGTATTACATGTTTTTACTGGAAATTCCAATGCTGGTAGTCCAACGACCATCTCTTTACAAACCAATGTATTTAATGCCTTGTAATTGAGATGTCCGAACCGGCAATGCCATAAGTAGGCTTCTCTTGCTGATGCACTTTCTGTTTGAAAACACACAGGCTGTTTTGGAACTAAAGAGGCTGTCACATAGAACATTCTATTTCCACTCATGTTAGTTTTCATAAACAATCCTTTCTGTGAGTGAAATACTTTGCACGTACCATCTGAAATCAGAATGGTCAAACCCTTCTCTTGTAGTTGCCCTATACTTAGCAAATTATTTTTCAGATCGGGAATATAATATACATCAGTTAGAACCTGAGACATATCATTAATTTGCATTCTGATACTACCTCTAGCTTCCACTTTCATATGAGTATCATTCCCAAGCTTCACTGTTCTGCAATGCTCTTCCTCTAGACTTAGAAACTACTCTTTATTGCCGGTCATGTGATTGCTACAGCCTAAATCAAAATACCACCGGTCTTCTATTTGTTGGTGTAAGTCCTCATAAGCCATTATTAAAATCTCGTCTTCTTCATTTACCTCTACATAATTTGCCTTCTTCTCCCAATCTGGACACTCATATTGAAAGTGCCCCAATTTGTGACACTTGAAACATTCAATAGTGGCTTTATTTAAGGATTGTCTTCCTCTCCCTCTGCCGCAGCCACCTCTGAATGCGCCACGACCCCTATCTCTATTAGGTCGATCCTCTTGAGTGTTTTCTGCTAGAAATTTTTTCATGGGTTGCTTTCAACACTTGCTCCTCCTCGTGTAACCCTTGCATCCTTTGCTCATGCACTAGGAAACTTCCATGCAACTCATCAATTGTTAAGACGCTGATATCATTTGATTCTTCAATCGCGCAGACTACATAATTGAATTTTGGGGTAAGAGAGCGCAAGATTTTACTCACCACTGTGCTTTGCTCCATTGTTTCTCCATTTGATTTCATGTTACTAACCACAGTCATGGTGCGTCCAAGAAAGCTATCCACCTTTTCTCCATCTTTCATGACGAGCAATTCAAATTCTCTTCGTAATGCCTGGAGTTGCGCGTTTGACCCTTGTAGAACCTTGATACTTCTGTTTCATGGAATTTCAAATTGCCTTGGATGTTCCTTTGTCAAGAATAGTCTCGAGAATTTCTCTATCAATGGATTGGAATAGAAATTTTTTTACTCTCAAGTCTTTGAGTTTAGCCTCGTCAAGAGCTTTCTTTTGCGCCTCACCGTTGGGTCCCGTGCTACGCACAGGCGTAGGTATACCATCCTCCACCAAACTCCATAACTTCTTGCTCCGAAGGAAGTTTTCCATTGTCATGGACCAAAAATCATAGTGGCCATCAAACTTTGGAATCGAGGGTTGCATGAATTGCTCTGTCATTTTGATTTGCTACAGGAAGTATTCTCTCACTTTTGCTCACGTATATATAGAACACACTTCCTCTCTCTTTAAGGTTATCAGGCCCCTTGCGGAGCTCTGATACCAATTGTTAAAATTGGATATCTGGATATTCGAGAGAAAAGAAGAACTAAATGTTTTATTATATCTGAAAAATGAGAAATATACGACTATATAAAGCCGCTACATCAAAACAAATAGCAGCAAAGATCACACTTACATGCCTAGACGTGATCCTTGATATCATGGAACGTATGACTTATTCTTGCTAAATAATAGGAATATCAAAGCAACAGAATAACAAAACAAAGCAGTAAACCCAACAGTGTCAAGGCTCACCCCCATTTCTTTCAATCTGTTTAACAATGAAGACAGCATATGTGGTGTAGACATGTGATGTGTTTTTACTTTTAGTTTTCTGTTTTGAAGATTTTAGACTACATGTATTTGATATTATTTGCGAAGAAGCAACTTTTAATTATGTTATGATTAGAATGTTTCCATTATTTGCAGGGGATGAGGTATACCCTTCATTTCTGTGTCAGAGCCTATGTAAACTAAAAGGGAAGTTTTTGTTATCTAATTGGTACACAATCATGGAATTCACCGTTTAAAATGGTTATCTAATTTTTTTTTTTCTGATTTTTTGTCATTGTTATGTAAAGTCAACATATACCCAGCAGAGGGGCGTTTCACATTTATTAGATATCATATGCTTCCAGAAATTGCTATTTATTTACTTTAAAGTTTCTTTATCTTTTTGAATTTATGAACTAATCAAGGGTGAATTCAGTCAAGGCAGATAAAATCTGTTATTTTTGTTGCTTTTGAGATGCATAGTTATTCACTATCCTTATTTATCTTACAAATGGTTAACGGATAAGCAGTGTACCTGCTTCTGATATATATTCCTTGAGTCTTGATCTTCTCTAATTAAGCAGATCCAGAGCTGAATATAAGGTTCACAGTCTGGTCATTGGAATGCAGAATCAAAATGTGATTCCAGATTTTTTTTATTTTGATGTGTTTGCTTTTGTTATGGACAGATGGGACTGGGCAAGACTTTGCAAGCTATCTCCTTTTTAAGCTATTTAAAAGCATGCCAGTTGTCACTCGGACCATTTTGTGAGTGAAGAAGTCTTCTTTTGATTTGATAAAATTTAATTTTTTCTTATGATGTGTACTCAGAAAAATACATAACTCATTTCTGCTTTCATTCTATATTTTCAGTGGTTATATGTCCTTTAAGTGTGACAGATTGTTGGGAGTCAGAGATAGTCAAATTTACCCCTAAACTAGCAGTATTCAAATATGTTGGCGATAAAGAATACAGGCGCAATCTACGCATGAAAATGCATGAACATGTAATGCAGCAGTCTTCAACAGTGAATGTGAGTGCATTATAACTTCATAGGCTCATTGAATCTGGATGGTTTTTATTAAAGTGCAGTATTTCTGTTGTCATATGCATGTATACTGATTTTTGTTGAACATTTTGGCAGGTCCTGTTGTCTTTTGATGTGCTGTTAACTACATATGACATTGCACTGATGGATCAGGATTTTCTTTCTCAAATACCATGGCAGTATGCAATCATTGATGAAGCTCAAAGACTGAAAAACCCATCAAGTGTATGTTGAAGAGACTATTAAATGCACTATATTTAGTAGTTGCTCATTGAAGAATATGCTTCTGTATGTTACACTTGTCTAATTACTTTCATTTCTATGAAGCAGTAGTTGTTACAAATTCTAAATGTTGAAATTATAGGGATTTAGGTAGGGAAAAAAGGAAAAGACAAAATAGAAGCTGAATAATCTGAAATCACATTGTTTTAATGTGATGACCAGATACAAAATGTAAAACACTTACACCCATTTATACTAATTGTTGACTCCAAAATCTAATTAAATAAGGACACAAATTGTGAAATGTAAGGGAATATATTCTAATACTCATCCTCAAGTTATAGCTTACTTAGTAAGATTGTTGCAAAGGAACCCTTTAGAAACAAATATATAATATGATTGTTTGAGTAATTACACTGAACAAAGGGAATGATTGTTTGAGTAAATTTATTGTAGAAATAGTTTGAATGATTATTGGTTGATTAAAATTAAAATTGGTTTGAGACAATTTTGACATTGTTTGAAGCTGTCGGTAACGGTCTTGATTAATGCTAGTTTTGACAATCTAACGAAACATGGTTGGCAAAAAGTCAATTTATTCCCAATTTTGTACTTTCCAATTTTGATGGAATGTGGCCACGACTTAGGGAGCAAGAAAAGCTAAAATTTCAAAGTCCAAGTGTGCAATTGGAAGGTTCTTGCACGGCTACAAGGTGGGAGGAAGAGAGAAAAAAGGTGATTTTTGCACCTGTGTTGAAAATGGCAAAGATTCAAGGGTAAGAATTAACTCCTGCAAATTTAAATTAATGGCTAGGATTAGTTAGGTGGGAAAAGTTAGCTTTTTAGAAAGTTGTAAAAATCATGGGCTGAAATCTTGTCCTTGCAATCAAGATCAATGGTCCTTATTCAATGCAGAAACCTTGGAAAAACAAATGAAATGATGGTTGTCATAAAAAATGACTTTTGTCATTTCATGACAACAGGTCACATTGGTCGTTTCTGTCTCAATTCTCATTTTATTCCTAGCCCTGATACAAGTTTTTTTGTAATATAATATTATTAAATATTCTTGAGGTTTTGACTCAGCTGAATTTTCTCTAAACATTTTATTTGACAGTATAATCCTGCACTATGTTAATTTACGAAATTAATGAAACAAACAGAAATTTAATTTTTTCTTGAAAATATTTAGAAAGTCATTTTTTACTTTTGGAAAATTTTTCACTAATTAAATTAACTAAGCGGACAATGACAGATTCCAATCTCTTAGGTTGCAGAATTTTACTCCACAGAAATCATGATCGTTACCAAATGAGCACAGAATTTTCTCAAACCAGTTTTAATCAACCAATAATCAGTCAAACTATTTCTAGAATAAATTTGCTCAGACATTCATTCCCTTTGATCAACGTAATTACTCAGTTGCAGCTGAGTTTACATTGATTGGGTTGAACAAATAAGTCTATAGAAAAGAGTGTGTTACAGTACTTCCCTTCTTTAAGATATTTCATTGCTGCCTCTAGTTCCCATGTCGTGTCTCCATCATTAGTTGTGCTTTAGATCACTTTAACCATTGAAATTTCCTTGCCTAGAAGTTTCTTAATCTCATGATCACTAATCTGAACAGGCATGTTTTCATAAATTAAATTCTCCCTCAAGTGTACTTGATTCGGTTTGACTACATGTGAGGGTCATGAGCATACTTTTGGAGTTGCGAGACGTGGAAGGTAAGCTAATGTTCCTATTGTTTTAAGAATCGTCCAATAAATTTAGGGCTAAGTTTTCGAGACTTCAAAACTCTGTCTACCCTAGTTGTAGGTGCAACTTTCAGAAACACATGGTCTTTGTCTTGAAATTTAAGTGATTGCCTTCGCTTGTCGTAGTAACTCTTTTGTCTAGTCTGACACCACCTTAATTTTTTCTGTGGTCTATTGGATTATCTTAGGTCCAATGAGCACATTCTCACTAGTCTTATACCAGCATAGCGGTGTTCGACATTTGCATCCATATAAGGCTTCATGACACAAAATCCATTGTGATGTTCCATTCAGAGCTGATTAGAGGTTGCAGCTCTTTGACAGGTCTCTAGTATTCTACCTTAGACTTTTGACATGTTAGGCACAAAGGTACGTACTTTGCTACTGCTCTCTTTATCCTAGGTCACCAGGTCTTCTTCAAATTTTGATATATCCTTGACTCACCAAGATGAATCTAAGTTTGCTCCTGTGCACTTCTTGGATCATGCTTCTCAAATTAACTTCACCAGGCACACATATTCGGTCTTTGTACTTGATCATGCCTTGCTTGTCTCTTCATTGAATGTCATGTTCTTTCTCATTTTTCCTTGTCTTTGGTGGACCCTTCAATGAATAGATGATAGTAGCCTACCAATCCCAAGAAAGATCAAACCTCCACCATTGTTTGTAACACAACTTGTACTTTTGATGGGTTGACAATGATGCCTTCTTTTGATATGACGTGTCCCAAGAAATGTACTTCTTCCAACAAAAACTCAATCTTGAATAGTTTGGTGTAGAGTTGCTTCTCACGTAGAATTCCTAGGTTATCGTCGGTTAACACAATGACAAATCTATCTAATTAAGGATAGAAAATGCGGTTCATGTAAACCATGAACACTGCAGTGGTATTAGTTAGTCATGTCAAAAGGCATAAAATACTTCTTATAAGAGATAGGGTAGTCTTTCTCCTATGAGCTAACTTTAAGAGTGAATTAGGCCTAAGTTTCTTAACATGGTATCAGAGCCTATTCAGTTTGAATGTTGGATTGCCCACAGATGTCTAGTCCTGTTGGGCCACCTATGCAGGTAACTAGTTTTGCAAATTTCATGTACTAGATGTCTAGTCATGGGTGTGAGGGGTGTGTTAAGATGTCCTACATTAGTTAGGAATAAAGTCAGAATACTCCTTATAAGGGTTAGGATAGTCTTCCTCCTATGAAGCCTTGATACTTGATACAACACGGATACGATACAATACAGATACGGGGATACGGAAAAAATTTAAATTTCAAGATACGATATGACTTAGATACTTTAACATAAATTTTAAAAAATAATATTTATAAAGAGATATTGATAATTAATTTATATTAATGTGTTACATTTTCTAAGCATGCTATATATACAATCTGTGAAAGAAAGAATATAATCTAATTTATCCCACCATATATCATTTAAAACAAGTTCTTTCATATGGGGAGCTTTATCAACATCATCTTCTCTATAACTATTCCATTGGTTACTAATGACCATATTTTGCAAAGCACGTTTCAGCATCAAAACTCATTTTTTGTCAACAAACACAGCTGTTGAAAAATACAAGAATAACATTTTTACTTTGTTGCTGTAAAATGAATAGCAAAAAGGAGATTAGAAAAGAGAAAGTTTGTGAGATTTTACCGCAACTGTAATAGAGTAACGTTTAAGATTGTTGCTGTAAAATACGGAGAAGAGTAACAAAACTGTTGCTGAAGTCCAAAGAAGAGGAACAAAGTTCAAAACAGAAATCACGTCACCCACTATCACGAATTGGAGAATCAACACCTCAGGAACTTGCTCAACCAGAATCGATGCCTTAGGAATTTGCTGGACCAGAATTGACCTCTCAAAAACCTCCAAATCACCTTGCTTCCTCAATAGTTCTCGTTTCCCCAAGAGAATCATAGCTCAAAGAAGTCCTAGCTGGGTTTTGATTTTGGGTGAGGTTCTGGGGCATTCCTATCTCGCAAAGAATGAGAGAAACGGGAAAATGGGAGAAGAGAATTGCAATTTGAAGAAGCCCTAGCTAGGTTTTGATTTTGGGTGAGGTTCTGGGGCACTTCTATCTCACGAAGAATGAGAGAAATCAGGAATGGGAGAAGAAAGAATGAAAGAAATGAAGAAATGGAAGAAGAAAGATTGAAACGCACTGTTTCAATAATAAACATATTGGAGCTGTTAGCCGAGCCGTATCGGAGCCGTATCAGATGATTTAAAGCCGTATCCTAGCTGTATCTAAGCCGTATCTCATCTGAAATTAATTTTTAATAATAAATTAAATTACGGATACTTTTGGGATACGTATCTAGATGTATCGGACACGTATTGGTATCTGATACGTGTCCGACACAGATACTTTCAATATTTTCACGTATCCAGGCTTCATAGTCCTCCTTCTATGAGCTGACTTTTGAGAGTGAGTTAAGTCCAAGTTTCTTAACACTAATAGCAATCATGAAATATAAAACTAAATCCTAAGAGATTGTCTAAGATGCAATAATGATATCATGGGACATGTTTCATATACTCTAATAATTCATCTTTCCATTGATTGAGACCAGGCAAACTTTGCTTATCTTTTGAGAATGTTTTATGATAAATTTGTAAATAAATTGAAAAGGTGACATAACCGAAGCAACACTATAAAAAAATGATCAGCATTTACAAAAATATATAATCTATTTCATGTTATCAGCTGTTTAGGCTCAGAAGATGTAACCATAAATTTCAGACAGTTCTATGTTAAAAACTTAAAAATAATTTAATCATTCAGCTTCTGAGATTATTGGTTCTGGTTGTTAAAATTTCTGGAACTTTAACAGGTTTTATTTAATGTTCTCAAAGATCGGTATATAATGCCAAGACGGTTGTTGATGACTGGCACGCCCATTCAAAACAACCTTTCTGAATTGTGGGCGTTGATGTATTTTTGCATGCCTTCTGTCTTTGGTACACTGGATCAGTTCCTTTCTACATTTAAGGACATCAGTAATCATGCATCAGGTCATTCTCATTCAATTTAGCATCACTGGATTTTGAATTGTTTTGGTTCTTCTAAAAGTTTCTGCACACTTATAGAATCTGAGTCTCTAATGTTTAACGTGAACCACAATTAGTAATATAAATTGTTTAAAGGATTAAGAAATTTCTAATTTCCTTGTTAGGTTCGTGCATTCTTTTTTGAATCATGTTAGAAGAGAACCAAAGAAAGTTTGTGATTTAATTGATTACCCTGTGACAATGCAGAAATAGATTTATCCAATGAAAATAAAATTAACTTTTTTCATCCTTTTCTAATTGTTGTACTTTTGTTTCTAAACAGTTCTTGATGCTCCAATGGTAAAGGAGCAACTTAAAATTCTAAGAAATGTACTGGGAGCCTTTATGCTTCGACGTACCAAATCAAAGCTTATGGACTCTGGAAATTTAGTTCTGCCTCCTCTCACTGAGACAACTGTGTACGTTGTATCTACTTTTACATAGCTATCTTGAACTTTTTTACTGCAATTTGATCTGTAATTTTTTATGCGAAGATGCAAAGTTGTTGTATTGAATATTTAAATTCTATCCCATGACAGGTTAGTACCCCTTGTCAGCCTGCAGAAAAAGGTTTACAGGTCAATATTGAGGAAGGAACTTCCTAAGTTACTTGCACTTTCTTCTGGAACTTCAAATCATCAATCACTACAGAATATTGTTAGTCTAACTCTAGTTTTCTGTTTTTCTTATAGTGACTTTTAGCAAATTCTCTAGTTTCACTATAAATATTCTTGGAGGTGGATGCTAAACTGATTTCATATATGATACTTCTTTCATTTCAAATTAACTATCATTTTATAAAAATGCTTTCTTTCAATTTTTTTAAGGTTTTAGAAAATGAAGAAATTATTAATTATCATTGTTTTTTCAATTTTAAATTGTATCTTGTTATCTTCATGAAATGGAATGAGAGCATTAATACAGTGATGATATTTTGGGTGCATTTGGATAAATAACTTAATTAAGCACTTATTCAATAAGTTTTTATCAATGAGAGCTTATTCATAAGTTTGATTATGAAACTTATTAGAAGAAGTCAAAATGAGTTTATAGGAAGGTCATAAGCTACTTCCATAAGCTCAAATAAGCTCTTTCAAATGCTACCTTCATGTATTTTAATAAAGGGTTATGTAGTCAAATGCAAATTGAGGCTATATAGTGGTTCACTTGGTCCAAAATTTGTTTAACCTGTTTCTGAAAAATAGTCATTTCTTTTGTCAGCTTCTTACAAAGGCTTATTAAAATAAAAAAACAATTTTCTCTCTCAAAATAATCAAATCCAAATATGCACTTGATGTTTGTGCAAATACCTTAGCTGACAGATAATTTTATGCAGTGTCTTCTATTAAATAAAAATAATTATCAATACAATATATTAAGTATATTATTCTTTTGTTGAATATAAATTAAACTCATAATTTTTTGTAAGGTGTATTCTATTGAATTTGACTTGAGCATGGCTGAGTAATCCTGTGAAACATATGAAGTGGTTCCTGACTATTTCGGGATTGCATTTTGTACTTCATTAGGTTTGTTGAATGAGAGAAAAGTGAGAGAACATGTGGATGAATCGGTGTGTTTCAACTATGCAATGGAGCATATATTTATATTGATAATAGCAATAATTATAGAATATTTGCAAAATATTCAGTTACCTAATTAACATAATTATAAAGATAAACTTGCCTTATTACTATAATTACATATATTTAACCATGTTGATTGTGTTTGTATTTGATTTCTGCTTTTCTGTTTTAACTCCATATTGTTGTGCTTTTGTTATTTGTTGCTTTCACATTAAAGGTAATGGTAAATATTATTCAATTTTTAAGGTGTTACAGCTAAGAAAAGCATGCAGCCATCCTTATCTCTTTCCTGGTATTGAGCCTGAACCTTATGAAGAAGGTGAACATCTAGTTCAGGTACCTACCCTTATTTTTATATATGATAAATTGGGACTCATACTTACCACCCTTTAAGTCACATGGTTGCTATCAAGTTTATTTTTGTTTGATCTTGTAGTCTAAATTGGTTGTTAGTGTTGCATTCCCATTTTGGAGGGGAAAATGACAGAAAAGTGAAGGGAAAGAATAATATGAAAATTTCATTTTTAAAGTTCTTTAATTTTTTTAATTTCTTAGTATAAAAAAAACCATACCATTTATTTATTTTTCACTCTCTCTTCCAGTCATCCAAAGTTCCAAACAATTAGAGAGAAATGTCTCCATGTCATTCCTTCTTATTTCTATTTATTCAAACAACATATTTTTTGTACTTATTTCCTCTTTTTTTACATTCCTTCTTTTTCTTTCTCTCATTTTTTTCCTTCCATATTTCACTGCTCATCCAAATAGAGCATTAGATTATAGCTAGTTTGTTTCTGAAAGAGACAAAAATTAATAATTATTACAGCCACAGGATTCTATTTACATAAATATACACCTTTCTCTTGCGCTATAATTGTGCTTGCCACATTGCTATCTCATTTTGCTCTATTAGGCTAGTGGTAAACTGCTGATTTTGGACCAACTTCTTGAGAAGCTTCATTATTCTGGACATCGTGTCCTCCTTTTTGCTCAGATGACTCATACACTTGACATTTTGCAGGTAAGATTTTTCTACCTGTGTTGAATACCTTATAGTAGTTAAGGGAATATATTGATGAAATACATTTTATTGTAATGTAGGATTTTCTGGAGTTGCGGAAGTATTCTTATGAGCGTCTTGATGGATCAATTAGGGCTGAGGAGCGCTTTGCTGCTATAAGAAGTTTTAGTAGCCCATTAGCTAATATGGGCTTGAATTCTGAAGCTAACCAAAATGGAGCTTTTGTTTTTATGATCTCCACAAGAGCTGGGGGAGTTGGTTTGAATCTTGTGGCTGCTGATACTGTGAGTTTTGTCCATCTTTCAACATTCTTCAAATTGGAACCTAATTACTTATTTATTAGTTTTCTTGTTTCTTGATTTTGGTATATATAAAATGATCATTCTGATAGAACTGGTACAGACGTACAGAAGAGTTCTTGAATTTTTATTGAGAAAACCCTAATTCCCAAACGAGTACCATGTAGATAGTGACTGTTAGGAATGTTTCTGCAATTCCTGAACACTCACTCTCAATCTCTCTAAATTCGGAAGAGAAGAAAGGAAACAAAGATTGAATTTGATTATTGATTGATTGATTGAGATTACAAGGTGTTGGTTTTTATAACCAATTAATGCTCTACATAACCTAACAGATTATTGGCGCCACTAACAGCCTAACAGCTTGGCAGCCAAACAAACTTAACAGAATTTGCAACTAAGGCTAAAAGAATCCATGAATTACAATTAAGTCCCTAAATCTAATTTGATTCATTACAATTTTCTCCCCCATGAAACACGACCTTGTCCTCAAGGTCTATATCAGTTCTGAAACCAATTAAACTTAGGGTACTGAGTCCTCATGCTTTGTAAGTCATGCCAAGTTGCATCCTCAGGGTTTGTATCTTGCCATTGCACCAATATTTCAGTTGTTGCTCTGTTGTTTTTCTGCTTCATCCTTCTATCCAATACTGCTAAGGGCTGCATTGGAGGCTCTCCATTCTCTGTCAATAAAGGCAAAGCTGCATATACAGGATGATCTCCATGGTGTTTCTTCAGCAAGGAGATATGAAATACATTATGAATCTTGGTCCCTGCTGGTAGTTGTAATCTATAGGCAACCTTGCCCACTCTCTCTATTATTTTATAAGGTCCATAATACCTTGCTGCTAGTTTATGAAAAGAAGAACTAGCCAAAGAGTGCTGCTTATAAGGCTGGATCTTCAAATAAACTGAGTCTCCTACTTGATATTCCTTATCAACTCTCTTCATGTCAGCATACATCTTCATCCTATTCTGAGCCTTGGTCAGGTTATCATGCAGAAGTCTTGAAAGTTGTTCCCTTGTCTTTATTGTGTAATCTACTGCCTCCACCATTGATTCACCTTGTTGTATAGGACATGGAATGGATGGTTTATATCCATATAGAGCCTCGAATGGAGTCATTTGTATTGCTGAACGGAACTTTGTATTGTACCACATTTCAGCCATAGACAAATATCTACTCCACTGTTTAGGTACATCTCCCGTCATGCATCTTAGATAACCCTCCAATGCTTTGTTCAAGGCCTCGGATTGCCCATCTGTTTGTGGATGGAAGGCTGTGGACTTAAGCAGCTGTACACCATGTATCTTCATCAATTCAGACCAAAATGTACTAAGGAACAAAGGGTCCCTGTCAGATATGATTTCAGTTGGCCAGCAATGTAGTTTCACAACTGTATCGATGAACACTTCTGCAACCATTGCAACGCCAAATGGATGTGTAAGAGGTATGAAGTGGGCATATTTCGTGTATCTATCAATTATCACTAATATGACTGTCATTCCATTGGACTTAGGAAGACCTGTAATGAAGTCCATGGATATTGATTGCCAAGCTCCTTCTGGAATTGGAAGAGGTTGGAGTTTGCCTGAGGACAGTTGAGGAAAGGTTTTGAATCTTTGACATGTTTGACACTCCTGTACCCATCTTTTCACTGTTTTCTGCAGACCTTTCCAGTAGAATTGCTCTTTGATTCTTTTGTATGTTTGGTCCATACCAGAATGTCCTCTCACAGGAGAATCATGAAAGTACTTCATCAATTTATTTCTCAGATCTTTGTTGTCACCCACTACTAATTTTCCTTTCCTCTTCAGCAGCTGATTGTTGAAGCTATAGTGTTTATAAGGGACTTGAGTTATTCTGATCTTGTCTATGAGTTTTCTTAACTTCATATCTGCCTCCCAAGATTGCTTTACTTCTTCTGTTAGTTCTGAAGCTGCTTGTAACATCACCATTAGCTGATTGGTATTAGGCTTCCTGGAAAGTGCATCAGCAACTATATTCTCCTTCCCTTTTTTGTATTCAATGCTGAAGTCAAGCCCCATTAGCTTCTCTAGGCCCCAATTTTGCATCAGTGTAGTTGGAGGCTGTTCAATAATATGCTTCAGTGCTTTCTGATCTGTTTTGATGATGAAGTGCTGGCCTAAGAAATAATGCTGCCACTTTTTTATTGCAAACAGGATTGCATAGAACTCCTTTTCGTAAGCTGAAAGCAATTGGAATTTTTGTCCCATTACCTTACTAATGAATGCTATAGGATGGCTTTGTTGCATCAGAACTGCACCAATTCCTGTTGCTGAGGCATCTGTTTCCACAGTGAATGGTTTAGTGAAATCTGGCAATGATAAGACAGGAGCTGTGATCAAGGCCTTTTTGATAGCTGAGAATGCTTCTTCTGCTTGTTGATTCCAGTTGTACGCCTGGTCCTTTTGAAGAAGTGAGGTCAGGGGGGCAGCCAAGCATCCATAATTTTTAATGAACCTTCTGTAGTAACCAGAAAGTCCTAGAAATCCCCTAAGTTCTTTCACATTTTTAGGTGTAGGCCATTGCTGTACCGCTTCAATCTTTCCTGCAGCCGGTGCTACTCCATCAACAGTGATCACATGTCCAAGGTATTCCACTTTCTTTTTGCCAAAGCTGCACTTCTTATAATTCAGTACCAAACAGTTCTCCTCCAAAATCTGAAGTGCTTCTCTTAAACATGCTTTGTGCTCCTCCCAAGTCTTAGTATAGACTAAGATATCATCAAAAAACACAAGGATAAACTTTCTTAAGTGCTTTCTGAAAATGTCATTCATTAAATTCTGAAATGTAGCAGGAGCATTGCTCAGCCCGAATGGGAGAACTACCCACTCATAATGGCCGCTGTGTGTTCTAAATGCTGTCTTGTGGATGTCCCTCTCGTGCATTCTCACTTGATTATAACCACTTTTCATGTCTAACTTGGAAAAGTAAGCAGCTTCTTTCAATTCGTCTAATAAGTCCTCTATGAGTGGAATAGGGAACTTATTCTTTACAGTTACAGCATTTAACCTCCTGAAATCTGTGCAGCACCTCCAACTTCCATCCTTTTTCTTAACCAGAACCAATGGAGAAGAGAACGAACTACCACTTTCCCTTATGAATCCTGTCTTTAACATAGCCTGAACTTGTTTTTCGATTTCTTCCTTTTGAGTATGTGGATAACGGTAAGGTTTTAGACAGATAGGTTTCTCATCAGTCAAGGTGATCTGATGATCATACCTTCTGCTAGGAGGTAATGATGTAGGCTCCACAAACAAGTTTGTATAGTCCTGTAAGAGATCTTCTAGCTCGGTTTGCTGCTGTTTAGTCAAGCTCGCTTCATCTGGATCCATGGAAATTTGAAAACAGATAGATCCATTCATAGAGAAGATCATAGCTTGCATAGTGATTGCTCGTAGATTTCCAGCCCCATCAATCAAGGCACATTGCTGCTGTTCTCCTTTCAACACCACTTCCTTTCCTTGATGCATGAATTTCATTGTCAATTTATCACAGTTCCAGCTGATCTCGCCCAGTACTTTGAACCACTGCATTCCTAGAATTACTCCAAATGAAGATCCAGGTAATACAAAAAAGTCTGTTGTGAAACAATGCTGACCAAATTTCCAGTCCAACATATCACATTTTCTTGTGATCGTAATAGATTGGTCACTAGCAATCATAACAGGGAATTCTCTGATAGGTTGCGTCTTCAAACCTAGAAGCTTGACCCATTTTGCAGATATGAAGTTATGTGTGCTTCCTGTGTCCATCAAGAATGGGACAGGTTGCTTTTTGATTAAACCTTGCAACTGTAAAGTGTTACCACCAGCAATACCTTTCAATGCATGTAGGGAGATTTGCACATTTGCATCAGTGCTTAATAGTCTACTATTATTCAATGCTAATTCCTCATCTTTAGAAGCATTGTCACCTTCTTCATCCATATCATGTTCTTCTTGTTCACAAAAAATAGCAGTTAATTTACCCCAGACTTTACATTTCAATCTATGGTTCCTTTCCCATTTCTCACCACAAAATCTACACAATCCCTTAGATATACGTTCACTAGCATCTTTCCGAGTTATCGGGGATATAGGACTCGCCTTTGATTCTTGAACAGGTAATGAAACAGAAGAATTGTGAGTGTGTTGTTGTTGAAGATTGGTGATAGGTTGATTCCTGAAGTTACAGGATGTGTTGGACCATGTTCTTGAATAACTATGTTGATTAGCTACACTGGATCTTCCCATCATCATCTTCCTTTCAAACTCCTTTAGGATTTCATCTTGCAATTTGGCTAGTCTTGTAGCTTCGTGCATGGATTGTGGATTGTGCAAGCGTACAGACTTCTCTAGCTGTGGTTCTAACCCAGCTAAGAAGAAACTCAGCGCCATAGACTCAGTGATTGACACACGAGCCAGGAGGTTATCAAATTTCTCAAGGTATTGTATCAACGAATCTTGTTGCCGTAATCTTGCAATTTCGGCGATTGGGTCATCGTAACCACTATCATCGAATCGAGTTCCAGCATCCTTCAAGATTTCGGACCAAGATTTGTTCGCAAAATCAGGGTGCTTCAGATAATGACGTTGCCACGCGAATGCTTTGCCCTCCATTGATAGCAACAGCAGTTTTCCTCTCTGCTCAATCGGAGTTCTTTCAAGCTCGAAAAATTGTTCAGCTTTCGCCCTCCAATCCCTGTAATTGGTTTCATCGAACGAAGGAAATTGAATTTGGGTTCTGTCGAGAACAGAGTTGACGTTGTTCTCCGGAGTTTTGCTTTCGTCGTTGCCAATCGGAACTCCATTCGTGCCGGTGGAAAGAGCTTCGACCTTCGCAGCGAGATTTTCAATTATTTTTGCTAAAGATTCCAGCGTCTTCTGCGTGGTTTCTTGGGAATTTTGGAAAATTTGTTCGAAAGAATCGACCCTCGTCTCCAATTCCTTGTTGCTCACCATGGTTGCGTCGCCAAGCTCTCTGATACCACTGTTAGGAATGTTTCTACAATTCCTGAACACTCACTCTCAATCTCTCTAAATTCGGAAGAGAAGAAAGGAAACAAAGATTGAATTTTATTATTGATTGATTGATTGAGATTACAAGGTGTTGGTTTTTATAATCAATTAATGCTCTACATAACCTAACAGATTATTGGCGCCACTAACAGCCTAACAGCTTGGCAGCCAAACAAACTTAACAGAATTTGCAACTAAGGCTAAAAGAATCCATGAATTACAATTAAGTCCCTAAATCTAATTTGATTCATTACATAGTGATTCAGAATTTAGGTGAAAATGTTATGCCATAGTTGTTAATAGTGTGCTATAGTGGCGGTATCATCCTGTTGCAGCACAGAGCAGCTGTAGGCCACCATGCTGTGGCGGTTGCAGGTGGTTTGCGGCCAGAACAAAGTCGCGGGTGCTATTTCATGATTTTGGGGAAAGGAAGAAACCCTTTTCTGTTTGTTTTAAAACACACTGTTTTGGTTATTTTTAAGGGTAGAAAGGTCATTTACTCTTTATAAAACATATATATCATAAAATTGAATTTCATTTTCCTCCACATTCTTCCTCTTTGCATGAAAAGTCGGGATCTCAACATAGTGGTTTCTACCCTCCTCACTGGCTTTCATTTTCTCAGAAAAATCAGCTAGTCCAGAGGCTCACCAGCTCCATTTCGCCGGAGAAATCAGCTTTTTTGTTCACCATAAAAATCAGCTTTTCCGGATGCTCACTCCATTTCACTGGAGAAATAAGCTTTTCTGTTCTAGCTTTGTTTTACTGTTCCCTGATCACTCTTGCTTTGCATTTCAAGATCTGTTTTGCGGTTAAAGCTTTATTTAGCATTTTTTTGTTTAATATAACACCCATGCTATAGTGTTTTCCACTTTTACACTGTTACTTGGAATGATGATTATGCAATCTTGAGAATTTCTTGAGCATTTATATTAAAAATCTGTGTACATAACATATTATATATGCATATTATAAATTTTTAAATATGTCATACGCTATTTTGTAATATTGTTTTAGGGGTCAGATGCTATTTGCTACTATATGAGATTAACAATATTGTGTTACATTGATTACTACCAAAGGTATTTGAGAGAACTCCACTCTCACAACCTTTCCAATGATCAATTATAAAATCATACTCACTAATCCTTATATGCTTATTTATAACAGTGACTAATACAACAATTACAGTTGGGCATACCCACTTAATGGCTATTTATTCAATTTCCCGCCTATTCTCTTTCATCTCTTTTTATGGTACACCGTTGTGAACCTATCAGATTCTTTTTAAGGTTTCCATCTGTTTGTTTCTAGCGTTGCATACTTCTTTTGCATCTATATGTGGCAATCTATGGGGTCCACAGGTGTTCATTCTGGATATGTGTAGAGGGGGTATTTTGCAGAAGAGTTGTTTAGTAGGAGGAGGGACCAGAATCTCTTGTAGTATGGATATGTTAATTCTTCTCAATCTAAATAAAGATTTTACTTTCATTTTCAATTCTGAGTCGGTTGTATCAGAGAGATTGTAGGCTGAAGCACACAGTGCTGCTGTTCCACACTTATTTTTATATTGGAGGGAGGGGCATGCAATTGTGTTTCTGTCAAATAATTTCCTGTCATTTAATCATGTAAATCCCCTATTAATCACCCTTGGTTTTAATGTCAAGTTAATTAATAAAACTTCCATTATAGAGTTCTATGTTCTTAACAAACCTTACAAAAGGTTCAGCTTGACCTTTGACAGAATATGAAGAAAAACAAAATACTTTTTTGGAAATATATATCGTAATAGAATAGGGAAGCTTTATTATTGCAATTATGTTTATTAGATAACTGTATATTCTTGTATTTAGTTGTTATCACTCTTGTATTAATGACAGTATAAATATGTGCTCCAGTGTATAACTTAAGACACAGATTCATTCACATGCTCTCATTCTTTTCTCAACATACATCACACAATCCATTGACAAAGTAGGCAACTAGCAGTCTAGCACTCCCCTTCAATTAGGAAACCCTTGTCAAACTCCACTAGAACTTTTCAAGCTTTTGCCTCCAAGGGTCCATCAACCTTCTCATAGCTGTCTTATATACTTGGCTCATTCATTGCCCAACGATGCTCAACTCCCTAATTAGGAAAAGTCTTTAACTCAAACTCTTGGCAAGTGAAAAAAAAGCATTATATGCCAAATAAAATAAATTACGTGATACATATTATTTGCATGATTAGAAACCTTCCAGAATTAATTAGGGGAGTATAAGAATTAGCTTTTTAATTTGATAATAAAATCCATAGAAATTGGACTTCCATTTCTTCAACAGGCTGATTTGAGCATTCTAACTTTAGAACATATTGGGAATTTACTGTATATGGTATGGCATCCTATAGGTTATATTCTTCGAGCAAGATTGGAACCCTCAGGTTGACAAGCAAGCTTTACAAAGAGCACATAGAATCGGCCAGATGAACCATGTATTGTGTATAAACCTTGTTACAGAATGTACAGTGGAGGAAGTATGTTTCTATTTGTTATATTTCTTTTATTCTTTGATCATGGAGGGTATTTACATAGGCTCTGGGAACTCACATGTTACACTGTAGGTAATTATGCGGAGGGGAGAGAGAAAATTGCGGCTGAGCCTCAATGTTACAGGTGATAATATTCTGAAACATGAAGATAAGGAACAATCTGAAGCCGGAACTGGTGATTTGAAATCCATCATATTTGGGTTACATTTATTTGGTCCCGCTGAGATCAATGAGGGAAAATGTACGGACATGGACTTTCGAGAAATTAATGCTATGGCTGACAAGGTGATAGCTATGCGTGATGAACAAATATTTGACAAGGATGAAAGGAAATTTGAGGTCAATCCAAGAAGCATTCTAAAAGGATATGATGTTAAGGAAGGAGATTCTGCTTCTCTCTCTTGTGATCTTGGTCTTGATGAGGCTTCATATCTTTCTTGGGTTAAAAAGTTTGAGCAAGTGTCTAAATCAAATTGTGATTCAACCATGGACTTGAAGGGCAGAAGAAACTTAGATGAGGAAAGGAGTCTAAAACTTGAGTCTGCAAGGAAGAAGGCAGAGACAAAGCTGTCTAAGTGGAAAGCACTTGGATACCAGTCATTATCTGTAGAAGATCCTATAAGCCCACCAGATGGTGATATTACATCAGCTACTGGGTCTGTTCATTTTGTGTATGGAGATTGTACAGCTCCATCAAATGTTTGTTCATCTGAACCTGCTATAATATTCAGGTCAGCTTTTTTCTATTTGCCCAACCGTAGCTTTTGGTTGATGCACCAAGCTTTTAATAACTACAATTATGAAATTAAATTTCTGTTGCACCTTTCTTCCATGTGGTAACATTCTTTGTAACATTTGGACATTTGGTAATAGAACTGTAGATTCTTTTCTTGTTTTCTTGATTGTTACCAATTTGAAGGAGGCTTTTGTAAGCATTTTGTAGTTGTGCTATTGTTGAGCGTTGTTGTAAATAGTACTATTTTTAGACCACAGTAGTCAATCCCAAATAGTGGCACAGCCACAGAGTGGCCAACCTCAAAAAGCTATAGTAGGATAATGGGATGACTGCTTTTTAAAGGTTTAAGGTACCCTTAACATAGATTAAACTAAAAATATATATGTGCTGAAAAATAAAAAATAATACCCAATTTAAAATATTCATAATTAATAATCAATCAAAAGTTGAGAGTTTAGGTACTTATAACACGCATCAATAACAGTAAAATAAAAAAATTTCCAAAAAATAGGCCAAACAAGGGTTGGGTATTGTTGAGAATTGCCTAAGCACGTTGCAGAAGGACCCAAACAGAGGTGGGTCTTGTTGGAAAGTGCCGGATCTTGCTGGAAAATAACCCAAATTTCCCTCAAATTCTGGAAAAAGTTAAAATTCTGCAGGTCATAACAGCAACTTTCCTTCAAATTCAGGAAAAATGTACACGTGGAATGATTTTTCTAACCTCAACCCTGTATTCTAGGTAATCTTAACTTTCTACCAAGCTATCTTGAGCCCATTTTGGATTCCATTTGCTAAGTCAAAAAGCCTGGACAAGTGAAGGTTTCACTTCAGAAAACAGTAGACACAGTCTGCAAAAACGTCAGTGCTGCGACCAATTTACACTCCAAAAAATTTGCCTGAACACATTTTTAGAATCCTCTGTCTTAGGCTCTTAGCTTTCAAACAAAATTGGCTGGGCTTGATTTGGATCACAACTCAATTAGTTATGCACAAAACATCTTACATAGCACAATTTTGGACCCTTTTTGCAAATCGGTCACTTGATTGCTAGTTTAGGAAGAAACTCTAACTGCAAATATGCAGGATAACTAATCGATGATACTCCTTGCAGTTGTAGCTTTTCTAGAAGCTATTCCATGCCCAAATTGAATAACGTCGCTCTCAGTTACACCTAAATTGGTAAGTGTAACAATTGTCGAAATTCTGAACCTTAGGAGAATAAACGCTTAGTCACATACTCTGTTTTGGCTGAGTTGAGTTAGAGGATGTTGATAGTTGGTACCCCTAACTTGTTACATGTATATGATCTCTCATATAGGGACCACTTAGACACTTCGTCACATTCAACAAATATCAATAATCACACCAAAAACTGGTAAGGGGAGGAAATGCTTTCAAGTAGCTAGTAAGGAAAATTGGGATGAATGGGTTATGGTTCCGTTAACCTTGAAATTCTGAATGCTTGATTTATGCTTTGGATATATTGGTTGTATTTGTTTTGATTTGAATGCACATAGTTGATTCTGAGTTTTAAAATGATGAACTTCAAAAAGGACATTTTGATACTAGTGGTCTATTGTATGTGATGGCATACATAGCGTACATGAATGTATGAGTAGGTGAATTGAGACTCCATTTGTGAACCAAGATTATTATGAGAACACATGGATTAGTGAAAACACAAGGAGTATTGACATTTAAACTGTGCTATGATTATTAAGCAAGCTACTGCTTTATCTTGAGACCTTAAGGTTAAGATTAATAATGAATTTTTAAGTGTTGTGTCAAGATCACATTTTAAATCCGAAGTTCTTTTATGACAATCTTTATAAATATAGTTTGATTTGGAGATTAGAAATGGGTTATATGATTGTTTTAAGAGGTTGTTTCCAAGTTGGTATGTGCAACAAAGCATATTACTTGAACTATCAATTTGTAAGAGTGGTGGTGATCTCTTTGGATTCAACTTTGCAAAATCACAAAGAAAAAGCATTGCTTATCAAAGACTTTAACATTTTAATTTCAAGTTAATTTATATTTAAAACCTTTAAAGTTATAATTTATCTTTGGTTTTATAGCTCAATGGTGGAGAATGTATAGTCATTCAATTCCAAATTTGCAGCAACTAGCTATAAGATTTTGAGCTTTAAATGTAGTGCATCCAGATGTGAATGCAACTCAAATATATTTGAGCAAGTAATTTTTCATTTCTCAAATCTAGTACTTTCTTCTAGAAATTTGAAAGAAACTAATCAATACTTTTTTAATTACACTTAGATTGTATATTCATTCAAAGAAGATAAATAAACTTGATCATTAAAAATTGTATGACTTAGTTTATGTGAAATATAACTAGCAACTCAAACAACGTATCAATTTTAAAGATGTAATTGATCCAATCACACTCATTGACATTGATGACTATAATGAGTGGTTGGTTGGAGAGATAAATGATAAGGATGCTGGAAATGACTTAATTTTTTATAATGATGACACTTTAAATTGGGCAATTGTTTTTGAAGCTTCTAGAGTTAGAGAGTCTAGAACATATACTAGGATTCATTCTACGAAATAAATGAATCCATAAAATAATTTTATTATTAAAGTTGCAAAAGTTTTCAAGATAATGTCATGTTCAATAACAAAAGGAAAAGGGAAAATGGTGATTGAAGATGATGATGAAAAACTAGAGGATGAAGAAAGGTTGGAGGAGACAAAAGATGAATTGGAAATTAATATTCAAGAATTTGAGGAAAAAGAGGAAAAAGATATGCCTTAGTAGATGAAAAAAAGATGATTATATTGGAGTTGAAGAGAAGGACTAAAGAATTAATCTTTATGTTTTTATTGTTTTCTATCACTTTGTTTTATTAACTTGACATTTGATAACTTTTTATTTTATATTAAATTATGCTTGAGTTGAGACTTAGGCTACAAAAGTTGTATTGATTTATTTACTTATTTCGTTTATATATTTTATTATGTCTAGCATAACTCATCATAATTTTATGGCAGTTTTTTGGCTGTCTCTCATGACTTGTCATCTGCTATTGATAATATTGCTTGAGAAAAATGACTCATAGTTTGACATGTGGATGATGAGGATTCCCTTAATTTTTATTTTTCATCCAACATAACTGTCCTGCAACTCTCTTTTGCTCAGACAACGTAGAATATCTGAGAGTGTGATAGGTACTACTCTTGTTATTGAACTAAAACAAAATTCAGGGACTAACTCAGGTTACAAATAGACAACTGAAAAGAAAATAAATACAAACAGTAAGATAGATGTCAGAGAATTGGTGATAATCCTGTGGCAACAGCCACTCTCCAGAATACCCAAAATGATTCCTATGCTTCCTCCCCGCCTTCCATTCCCTCAAATATTCCCTCCCCTAGCCTGATGTGCACATCTCTCTTTTCTCTCTCCTCTTGCCACATATAGTCAGGGGGTTTGTAGAGGGGTTGAACTAGAACTACCAAATTTGAAGGTGGTTAAGGATTTTTTCTTGTTCGATTTGGTAGGTGTGGATGTCATCCTTGGTTATGAATGGCTCAAAAGTCTGGGCAAGTTCAGTGCAGACCTTAGACAACACCTAATTGAGGTGCAGAAAGATGGGCAAATCATAGAGATGAGGGGTGGTGTAGCCTTATTCCATACAGTGGCATCATTAAAGACTATAAGGAAGGATTTGAGAAATGAGGCAGAAGCTTACTATGTGGAGTTGGGAATGATGAATATAGTATGCATAGAGGCATCAACTCAGATTACAGAAGGAGTCCCAGAAGAATTAAAAAGACTTTTAAAGGAGTTTGGGGACATATTCAAGGAAAATACTTCCCTGCCACCGAAAAGAGATTGTGACCATGCTATTATTCTAAAGGAGGAGCACAAATTCCTAATATCTGTCCTTATCGACACCCACATAGACACAAGGAAGAGATTGAAAAGTTTGTTAAAGATATGTTAGCTGCAGGGCTCATCAGACCCAACACCAGCCCATACTCTAGTCCCCTGATTTTGTAAAGAAAAAAGATGGAAGTTGGCATTTCTGTGTGGACTACTGAGTTCTTAACAGTATTACCATTCCAAATAAATTTCCTATTCCAGTAATTGAGAAATTATTGGATGAGCTAGGAGGGGCAACGATCTTCTCTAAACTAGATCTTAAATTTGGGTATCACTAGCACGAAGAAGGAAGATATTCATAAAACCACCTTTTGGACACATGAAGGGCACTATGAATATTTGGTGATGTCGTTTGGGTTATCAAATGCTCCTTCAACATTCCAAGCTCTCATGAACTAAATTTTTAGACCTTATCTACGTAAATTCGTGTTGATATTTTTTGACGATATCCTAGTATACAGCCCTGATTGCTTTTCACATATTGACCATTTGCGTGTAGTTTTCGAACTGTTGTGTAGTCATGAGCTGTGGGTCAATAGTAAGAAGTGTAGCTTTGGAGAAAAATAGTTGGAGTACCTTGGGCATATCATTTCAGCAGATCCAACAAAGGTTGCAGCAATGAAAAATTGGCCTATTCCTAAAGATCTTAAAGGTTTAAGGGGATTCTTGGGTTTGACATGTTACTATTGCCGTTTTGTACGCAATTGTGGGAGCATTGTTAAACTGCTTACGCAACTCTTAAAAAAGAATAGTTTTATGTGGTCGGAGGAAGCACAAAACGCTTTTGAGCAACTGAAATCGGCAATGGAGGGTTTGCCAACATTGGCTATGCAACAATTCGAGCTGCCTTTTGTGATAGAGACTGGTGCCTCTGGTTATGGTATTGGGGCAGTCCTAATGTAGCAAGGCAGACCATTGGCCTTTATCAGCCAAGCCCTTTCAGACATAAACAAGGTGAAGTCAGTGTATGAACAGGAGTTCATGGCAATAGTGTTTGCTGTGCAATGGTGCCAATATTTGCTAGGTCAGCATTTTATTATCAAAACAGATCAGCGGAGTTTGAAATTTCTTTTGGAACAAAGGGTCTTGGTTGGAGAGCAGTTAAAGTGGGTGACTAAGTTGTTGGGTTGCGACTTTGAAATCCAATACAAGGCCGGTTTAGAAAATAAAGCAACTGATGCTTTATCTAGAGTAATGCACTGCAATGCCATCTATGGTCACCAACTCAGATTTGGTAGAATTGGCTGAAGAAATTTTTGGGGATGAGCAACTACGTATGATTATGCAGCAAATTGTACTCAATCCGCATTCCCACCCACATTACTCAGTTTCTAAGGGCTGCCTTTGGTTCAAACAGCACCTAGGACTTCTAGAATTCCACTCTTATTAGCTGAGTTTCATGCATCACCCTAGGTGGTCATTCAGGGGTTACAAGGACCTACATAAGGTTAGCCATTGCATTCTATTAGAATAGTATGAAGCAAGATGTGGAAAAGTTTGTATTTGCTTGTCAGGTTTGTCAATAAAACGAAGTCTCAAACACTTAAATCTGCTGGATTACTCCAACTATTACCTATTCCAAACCACTTGTGGGAAGAGATCTCCATGGACTTTATTGGTGGATTACCCAAGACTAAGGGGGCTGACACCATCATAATCATTGTGAATAGGTTAAGTATGCTCATTTCATACATTTGCTTCATCCATACTCGGCTAAAGAGGTAGCTGCTGTCTTTGTGAAGGAAATTGTTAGGTTGCATGGTTTTCCTAATTCCATTGTATCCAATAGTTCGCTTGTCGGTTACCAAACTGAAATTTAGCTCTGCATACCATCCTCAAACCAACGGCCAAACGGAAGTAACCAATTGAAGCCTATTTAAGGTGCTTTGTAGGTAACCACCCGAGAGAATGGGTGAAGTGGTTGTCATGGGGAGAGTTTTGGTTTAAATCTTCATTCAACGCTTCTATAAAAATGAGTCCTTTTAAGGCACTTTATGGTCGTGATCCTCCTAATATTATTCCTTACCACCAAGACAGCACTATGGTAGATGAGGTTGACCAGCTATTATTAGTAAGGGACAGTATTTTAGGGGAGATGAAGCAGAATTTGATAAAAGCCCAAATGCAGATGAAGGAACAAGCTGATAGGGGCAGGCGGGAGGTGGAATTTCAGGTGGGTGACATGGTTTACTTAAAGGTTCAACCCTATAAATTGAGATCATTGGCAAAACGTGTGAATGAAAAGCTTAGTTCTAGGTTCTACGGGCCATTCAAGGTCCTGGAAAAGATTGGTGTGGTTGCTTATAAACTCCTATTACCAGAGACATCATGGTTACATCCAGTTTTTCATATGTCACAACTTAAAAGGGCTCCTCCAACTAGTCAACCTAGTGAAGAACTTCCACCTTTCTTCACAGAGGAGCTGGAATTAAGAGTTGAACCTGAAGCTGTGCAAGCAACTCGGAAGTTGTTAAATGGAACCTGGGAGGTACTTATAAAATGGGCTGGCTTGCCCAAGGTGGACAACGGACGAATTTGAATTGATTTAGGCAGTTTTTCCCAAATTTCACCTTGAGGACAAGGTGCAGCTCATTGGGGGGAGTATTGATAGGCCTCAACAAGATGGGCCTCCATTGAAGACATACCATCGGAGGAAGGGTATGATAGGAAGTAAGGGGGAGGAAGGGGGTATGCAGGATTTTAACAAACTGCATACGTGGCAAGAGGAGAGAGAAAAGAGAGATGTGAGCATTAGGCCAAGGGAGGGAATATTTGAGGGAATAGAAGGCGGAGAGGGAGCATAGAAATCATTTTGTGTATTCTGGAGGGTGGCTGTTGCCATAGGATTGTCACCAATTTTTTGATATCTATCTTATTGTTTGCATTTATTTTCTTTTTAGTTGTCTATTTGTAACCTGGATTAGTCTCTGAATCCACCATTACGATGACCTTTTTCCCTACTATAATATCTCATAGCCTCAATGAATTCTTTGAGGTCATTCCGGCAATGCTACTAACATTCAGCTGAAGATTCACTTCTTCTGCACCTTCATCCTCCGTTGGTTCTCCTCTTCCTCTCCAAGCAAAATCACATGGAGTTGCTTGTTCCGACAAATATGGCCTGGGGTAAACTTCTCATCGCAGTGAAAACACAACCTGTTGTCTCTTTTCGTTTTCCTCCTCCTCTATATTAAAGCCCAGCCCTCTCTGATTGGAGCTTACGGCGCTGCCTTCACGTTTGCTTCCTTTGGTGCTTTGGGTTTCAACCCGACTCCTAGCTACTGGTTGATGGACATTCCTTGTCCAAAGGAATAAGACAGTTCTGTCCTTATCCCTTCTTGGGCCCCAACCCCCCTTCCGGCCCAACTAGGTCTGTGAGTATTGGCTCAATTGGATTTATTAGCACTTGACCCAACTCCTCTGCCCAATGGTCCGTACGAGTGACCCAAAAGCTGATTCTTCTCCTCTATCTTCTGTGCCATCTCCATTACGGTATGCAACTCGCCGGAACTAATCATCCTCACTTCTGCTTTGATTTCATCTTTTAATCCATTCCAAAAAGCTCCTATCATACATTCCTCATCTACAAAACATAGTGGAGCTGAGAGGAGTTCTAATTGCTCCCTATACTCAACAACCGAGCCCTTTTGTTTCAAACTCATCAAAACTTCATATGGATTCTCCAAAGATAAGAAGGGCTTGCCGGAATATCGGCCAAGTAACCGCCGGCATATGAGGTTCCCACCATTGGTACCAATTCAATGTCCTTCCTTCCAAACACACCATCGCTGTGTCCACCTTCTTCGCCTCAGGGATTCTGTTTATCGCGAAATAGTGTTCCACTCAGTAGAGCCATCCATGCGGATCGTCCCCCCGAAGTATGGCACTTCGACCTGTTTCACCTGTTCCTCCCTTCGCAAAGTCTCCCCAATGTTCTCCGTCTCCGTTGTTTTCACCTTCCCTTTCCCTCCTAGCATCCTTTACTGCGGTGTCAACCTGCTCCATCATCATCTGCATCATCTCTTCCATCTGCCAGTGGAACTCTTCTTAAATGGAAGCTTGCATTCCTTCTAACCTGCGTTCAACACTTTCCAAACAGTTCTCCATTCTAGTCGATACCATCAGATACTCCCAGGATCGGGAGCTCTCATACCACTGCTAGGTACTGCTCTTGTTATTGAACTAAAACAAAATTCAGGGACTAACCCAAATTACAAATAGACAACCGAAAAGGAAATAAATGCAAACAATAAGATAGACATCAGAGAATTGGTGACAACCCTGTGGCAACTGTCATCCTCCAGAATACCCAAAATGATTCCTATGCTCTCTTACTGCGGCGTCAACCTGCTCCATCATCATCTGCATCATCTCTTCCATCTGCCAGCGGAACTCTTTTTAAATGGAAGCTTGCATTCCTTCTAACCTGCGTTCAACACTTTCCAAACAGTTCTCCATTCTAGTCGATACTATCAGATACTCCTAGGATTGGGAGCTCTGATACCACTGATAGGTACTGCTCTTGTTATTGAACTCAAACAAAATTCAGGGACTAACCCAAATTACAAATAGACAACCGAAAAGGAAATAAATGCAAACAATAAGATAGACATCAGAGAATTGGTGACAACCCTGGGGCAACTGTCATCCTCCAGAATACCCAAAATGATTCCTATGCTCTCTCCCCGCCTTCCATTCCCTCAAATATTCCCTCCCTTGGCCTGATGCACACATCTTTTTTTTCTCTCTCCTCTTGCCACTTATGCAGTTTGTTAAGATCCTGCATACACCCTTCCTCTCCCTTACTTCCTATCTTACCCTTCCTTCAATGGAATGTCTTCAATGGAGGTCCATTTTGTTGAGGCCCATCAGAGTGTCTCTTTGCCTAATATTTGAGCTTGAATAGGATCCTATATCGAATGGTGAACTGTTTCAACATGACAGTATCCTCACTGCACTTCATGTTCAAATTCTAATATTGGTCCAACCCAATCCACAAGCCATTTAAGATTGCTTAGTAATTGGTCACCAAAAGAGTTTGGTGCTTCGTATTGAAAATTTTATTCTCCAACTTGTAACAAGCAGAGATATACTATTTCATAAAGATTTGGCACTATCACAATTTCCTGAGTGGTGAAAATGATGCAATTTTAGCTCATCTCTGAAATCATAGAATTCCACAATCAAATCATAAGGAGTCTTCATCATCCCTTGCTTTGGACTGTTCGTTAGTCTTGGCTGAAGCCTTCCATTCTACGTGGTTGAGTCTTTTACAACCCTTGAAGGTTTTATGGGCAACATGAGCCCACTAGAGCCATTGAGTCAGATAGAGGGTATTGCTGAGAGATTGTGGGGTTCAACAGCATTGTTTATGCCATCTTAGGTTGTAGATTTGCTTTGGGTCCTTCCACAAACAACTCAGCAGCAGACTAATCTTCTACTTAAACTGGCATTCCAAATATCCCCATCCCCTAAAACTATTATTGAATAAAACTGATAGTTTTTATTGTTACTAGCATGAGTCTTACATTACTATGGAGGGGAAGTATGATTGGTTCTTGAGGTTAGCAAAATACCATTTCATCCCTTTCTACCCCGAAATCCTAAGCAAATCAAATATGTAACAGTTTAAGTGACAAAATTATGACTGTTGAGTATCTTGTACTCGAATTATTACCAGTAATGTCTACATAAGCAATCATCTGTTGGCTGTGAACATATGATAAAAAACTGGCCATGTTGTAAAAGTTTTTTATTTTATTATAAGCAGTGAATATGTAAGTTGGTTTTGCAGCTGCCTTGACACCTCTGGACATTGGGGCCATGGTGGAATGTTTGATGCACTGGCCAAACTTTCTTCGACCATTGGTGATGCATATGAAAGGGCTTCTGAACATGGGGATCTGCATCTTGGTGATCTGCATCTTATAAAGCTCGATGGTGAGCACTGATAAAAACTAATTATTTAGGCATACATGGACTGCATACAAGATGCTTCATAATACAAACAAATATACGACAATACTAACCTGCCTATAAAGGGCAATGTTAATTTCTTGAACTTTTTTTGGTAGAAATCATTTCAATTATTATATAGGACTGTCTCTTTCAATGTCATCGCCACACTACCAACTACTAAAACTATTTCTTCTTGGGGATGTTATTACTTATTGCCATTTTCCACATTTTTTTTTTGCAAATATAATCTGTGTCTCTTATTCTTTATGTTGTCATAACTCCATTAAGGTGTTTGAGGTGTCATTTTCATTAATGAACAATTGACCTCAGAAATAACTAATGCTTGTCTTCCGACTAGGTGTTATCTTTCTGTCTTCTGGAGTATACTGTATCTATCATTAATGGGTATCCTCTGAAAGGTGCGGTGGGGCTTATTTGTGTTACTGCCAGTTAGATTATGAATTAAGTGACGAGTATTATATTAAAAATTGGGACATTAACCAATAGACCACATTTAATTGATGTGTCTAGATTAGTGGTATGTTTAGCTGGGAATATTTTGGGGGAAAATTGCATTTTTTTAAGCTCTCTCCAAATTCAATTATGAACTGTTTTTAACAAAAAATAAGCTAAAATGGATTAGCTTATTTCTATTCAAAACAGCTTTTAGTAAACATTACTGAGCTTCTCTTGCCTGTGTTTAATCTCTGACACGTGAATATATGGTTGATGCCTCATTTTGTGCCCTAGTAGTTGTTGATGGATGTGATGAACAAAATATGGAAGGAAATGCTCCCAAAATGGTTGCTTTAGCTGTGGTTCAATCTTATAATCCAAGGCGCAAAGTCCCTCGCAGTGAAATCTCACTTCCCCACTTGGAAAGCTGCTTATCAAAGGCCGCGTTCTCAGCTGCTCAAAATTCTGGTAACATGTTCCACAATTATTTAATTTGATTTTTTTATCTTCCATTTCCTTTGTTAATTTATCATTTTGCTATTTTCTTTGCACATTGCTTACATCCGTGGCTGGGGATTGTGCACATGTATGCGCTGATATTTTACTTTTTTAATTCTAAAGCATATTGCTGCAAGTGAAGTTGAGGCGTCATAGGCATTTAAATACTGAATTGTTTTGTTACTTCATCTTTATCTTGCATATTTACTACCATGTATTATATCAGCCGTATAAGCAAAAGAGAAAAGCTAGGAAATTTTTCTGCAGAAGTGTCAAAAATTCAAAATGTAGGGTAATCTCTATATTTCTCGTTATTGTTAAGAATATTGTAAGGCAAACCCAATTGCTATAGCTTGCGTTGCATTTAGCTGCTGCTGCTTTCTTTTTTTGTCCAGTTGAGAGGTTGTACATGGAATTTACTAAGTTGAAGGGGTGTTCATGCATTTTACCCTTTCTATTTATGAATTGGAAAGCATTTTCTTGAAAAGCATAGAAAATATTTCCAAGTATTAATGCATTAAATATTGGTGAGATTCTTAGGACACCGTGGATGGGTCATTCAGCTATAAGTTCTTGTTGCAAAGTACTTAAATCCATATATGATTATTAAATGATTAAATATGTATATCATTGTTATGACGAGTTGACATCTGATCATTCTGCAAAGCATCAATACACATGCCGCGAATTGGTTATCAAGAGGGATCTGATCGTTCCGAGTGGTATACGATAGAACGGCTACTGAGAAAATATGCTTCCATTTATAACATCAATATATATGTGTAATGCTCTCCTCTCTCTCGTCGTCAGATTCTTGAACAGATTTGGATACACCATTGCATAACTAATCTTCGAATTCTTTCAGATATTATTATCGAAGAGCACATTAAGTCTTCAGGCTTACTAAACTTCCTTGACTCTAGGATGGTTCTGGCAGATACAATATTGAAGTGCTGTTTTAGTTCTTGGTTATGCATCCATGCATGTATGTGTATCACAAAATCATTTTACCCACGTGAAACAGCTTTAATAATTTGCAAATTCTTGTAAGTTTATATTGGAGATTAAAAAAATATATTAATATATATTTATATTTTACATGTACGTCTTTCTTGCTATTATTCAAACAAAATTGTAATTAGACTTGACAGATTTGTGTCAATCACCATTACAATATGTCAATATTCTACTAATGGATTGAAGATTAGTTTCATTATTGGGATTTACTCCTAGAACTGGCATAACCTCAAGAATTGGATGTACTCCTTTATGTTTATTTTTTTATGAATTTTGTTAATGGTTTGGTTTAATTAATAAATAAAATTGCTTCTTGATGCCTTGAATACTCGACTGCATGCGTTTAAATCCTATTTAACGGTCTCTTAGGCATGAATTTTTGTAGCCGCCATGTAAGTTCAAATTTATTTAGGGCCCTTAAAATTGAAGGAAGAATTATGAATATATACTTAAGCCGAATATTTAGAAATTATTTGATATTTTATTAGAATTTTTAGTGAGCATTTGATGACATTAAAATTAAAAAATTATGGATCTTGGGACTGTCATTGGCTCGAAGGAATATGGGAGGGCGAAGCTAAGAAAGATCTTAAAATTTTCTTATAAAATAAAACAGAAATTAAAATTAGATTTATTTAGATTAATACTTTAATTCTTTAATAAAATATGATTAATATTTTACATTGTAATAATAAAGTTTGATTTAGGATTAAGATTTTAGTTCCCTAAATCGACCCAGATGAGGGAAAAATTAATTATATAATAAAGGCTATTAATTAAAGTAAATTAGGATCAGTTATGAAGATTAATCATAAAATAACATTAAATAATCAAATAAATTATAAATAAAATAGTTGTAATTAAAATAAATATAATATTTTGAAAATATCAGAAAAAATATACCAAAATTTTAGAAGAAAAACATTATTTTAGAGCTAAATTAAATAACAAAAAATATATCAATATTTGTCATCACCAAGGCATTATTTGTGATAGTTCCACATGCTTTTACTGTACTTATACATTATTACTATATTTTATTTTATATTTATGTGAAATATTTCAATGATATATATTTTTTATAATATTGTAGATAAGTTAACTGCTATTGGATTCTCGTACTAATCATGAACTTAAATTTCATATCCTAATTTATTAGTTTGTTGTTATGTAAATTATTGTATAAAATATAAAATACACAGTAAAGAAACAGTAAATATTGATTATTCTCTTATAGAGATTTATATTTAGTTTGTTTTAACCATTAGAGTGAGTTTAGGAAAAAAAATATTTATATACTATGTAGTTATGACTATTTAGATATTGTATCTTTTGCGATGACAACTAAATCAAGTTTTATATTTTAACATATTTTTGTATTTATAGGTTATGGTGTTTTTATAATATAAATTTTATACACTGTTATATGATACACTGTTATATGACATATAATTACTAATTTTATTTTTGTTACCCAAAAAAATGTCTACATATTTCGGGTAAATTCTTTTAGTTTATTTAAATAGCATTACAACTTCACAGTGATATAACTATTTACCAATTTGATTTAAATATATATATATATATATATATATATATATATATATATTTGTATTTAAAGTTTTTTGTTTGATATTTTATTTTAATTATAAGCTCTACTATAACATGTAGTCTGTTTTTTTTTTTTTATTAAATTTTCATTTATTTCATTTATATGTTTCTTGGTCTTTTGAATTCACACTTTTTAAAATTTTTGTATAATTTTGTAATCTTTTTAATTATTAAAAAATACTATAAAATTATCTTAATATTTTATAGTTTATAAAAATGTTATAATATGTTAAACAGATAAAACTAATGTATAAATTATCATAATAGTCAAAATTATAACATATTTTGATAATAATTTAATTAATTAAAATATCAAATTTATTATAAATATTTTTTTTATAAATTTATGAATATAAAAGAATAAAATAAAAATATTTATCTTCAAACTATTTTATTTTCATATGAAAATTAAAGTATTAAAAAATTATTTGATTTCACATTTTTTAACAAGACTATTAATTTAGAGAGCATATTCTGAGCCAATTTCTTTATCAGGTTTTGTAAACAACTTATTTTTGTCAATCAATTGTGTACATTATGTTGTGGGCTCTTCTTGGAGATTTCAATGAAATTATAAGGTTGCCAAAAATTTGTGGAGGTTCTTTTAACAACAGTAGAGTTAAAACATTTGTGTAATTGGTTTCTGACTGTAATGTATTAGATATTATCTCCGTGGATAATAAGTATAGTTGGGTTAGGAGATACGAGGGTCATATAACAGTTAAGAAACTGGAACAAGAATGCTAGTAACTTATTTGTTAATATATATTTTTAATATACTTTTAATTATTGATTAAAATTTATTAAAAATTATAAAAATATAAAAGAAAAACATTAATTTAAAAATTAAAAAAGTTAGACTTACATAATTTTTGCAGTTTTAAATAAATTTTAACTAATAATTGTGTGTTTAAAAAAACGTGTTATAAAATGGGTTGCTATCATTTGGTGAACTGAGTTCTTAGAAACTTTTGTGGCAAACTAGTCTTGAGTCTACTGAGATCTTTTCCTTATGCTTCTTTGACGTGAGGTGAATATGAGTAAGAACAAAACTTTTTAATTCCAAAAGGTAACCTTGTATAGGATGTTTTACGTAAGAGCAATCATAGAGTAGTCAATGGTCTTATTGTTATTCGATAGGATACCATTACGTTCATCAAAGAGGTTTTCAAGAACAATTTTTCAAAGGAAACGCCAAATTGAGGCTAGTCAAAACGTCTTATCATATTTGAAAAGTCCCTTCAACAAGATTATAATGATGTCCTTCAGGAGCAGTTGTTATGGTTCCAAAATTCTAGAGAAAAGTGAATAAATTTGGGAATAGAAACAGTAAGTTCTTCCACATTTAAACACTAGTCAAGAGCAAGAATAATAAGTTGCATGGTCTCTTTTTAGATGAAGAGATCCTTAAAGTCGAAGCTCTTCAATTTTACAAGAACTTGTTTTCAACCAATACTTTAGTCAATTTAATAAATTGTTGCTTAATCATATCCCTAAGCTAAAAGAAGATGGAGATACTATCTTATTAGCCTTGGTATCGAGAGACAAAATTAGACATGTAGCTATAGGCATGTAGTTCATCAAGGCACCTAGCCTAGACAAGTTTCAACCCTTCTTCTTTAAACAATATTGACATTTGGTTGGAAACGACTTGAGGTATATGGTGAGTGGGGCTTTTAATAGGAATTTTGTTGAACTAAGCTAATTGGAAACTATCATAGTGTTGATTTTCAAAGTAGATAACTCTATGCACTTGAAGGACTTAGGACTTAAGACTAATTACCCTGTGTAATATGGTTTATAAGATTGTTACAAAGGTCCTTATAAATAGACTAGGACCTTTACTTGACAAATTTATTAGACTAGTCTTGGGCAGGTTCTACCAAGGCCAGAGACTTTGGAGAATGTCATTCTAGCCCAAGACATGATGCATTATATAAGGAAGATGAAAAGAAAGAAAGTGGTAATAGCTTTGAAGATATTCCTTGATAAGTTGTAGGTTGCATCAATTGAAAATTCTTTCAATCTATCCTTTAGATTTTCCTCAACGTCATTAGTTTTATCAAATTGGGAGTTTGTTCCTCTGTCATCTTCGCACTGTGAATTTCATTTAAGCTTCATGATTTCACTCTTAACGAGGAGTTTTATCAAGGAGATCCCTTATTGTCATATTTATTTGTTTTATGCATGAAAAAAATTCTCATCTCTATTTTACTTGTGAATAATTGTAGTTGTCTCTTAATTCATATTTCTAGGGAGGCATAGGTCTTTCTCATCTTTATATATATATATATATATATATATATATATGATGTCTTGCTTTTTTTAGGCCTTCTAATACTAAAATCAAACAAATAGTTGATAGGTTAGATGACTTTTGTGTTCCAGTTGGCTTGAAAGTAAACTTTGAAAGATCTAGATTTATACTTAAACATTGTTACTAACCATCAACATGTAAAACTTTCTAATATTTTGGGTGTTTGATAAATTTATAACCTATTTTATTTTTATAATTGGTGTTTTATCACTTAAAAAAACTAAGTTTCTCTTGTTTTTGTTGTAGGAAGTGATTACGATGCAACTTGATGAAAGCGAGCTAAATTATGAAAAAAAGTTGCATAAAAGGACAAAAATTGGATGTAATTGGTAAATGATATAAGATGTATGCGCCCCTGCTTAAATCAACATGACCATGCCAACATTAGCACACTTTATGTTGAATAAAATTGTCTTTATTTAAGGCATGCTAAAAAACTCTCTGTCTAGGCCCTAATTAGGAAGCATGACTATTACTCAAGTGTTGAGAACTCTTTATTAAAGGCGTACTCAATAGAAGCATCCTTGTACTTGACATTTGCAACATCAAATAAAATAAAATTTTAGAGTTTTTAAAAGATATATTCTTTCTTTTGAATTACTTGTGGTGACTTCATTTCTCTCTTTCTCTTCATGCCTCATCCACATCAAAGCTCTTGTCCAAAATTCCTCTACTTTCATCATCAACATCATCTCCTTCTCCATTCTCCATTATGAGTATTACCACAATATCTCAAAGCGGCGATGTTCCTTATCACAGAGTGGTATTATCCAAGAGCAAATTAGTCACAAAGTTTCTTCTTTTTTTTTTCATTTTTATTTAGTATTATGGATTTTTTTTGTTTAGTTTCTCCTTCTTTGAATGTTATAACTATGTGTAACTAAACATTTCTTGCTCTAGAGCTTATATGGATACTTGTGATGTAATAACCCTTATTGAACCCTAATTTGATCTATGATATTCATGTTATGTGTTAATTATAATTGTCTCTTTGATGTTATTGTTATTATTGAATTGGCCGCTAAAGGGTAAATATTTGTTAATCAATTGATAAGCAATCATCCCATTAATTTGGGTGTAGGAATTAAAAGGATCAATTTATCACTTAGACTTCCAATCAATTAATTAGATTTAACATGTCTGATGAATCTTAATGCTCTTGTTTACTTGTTAGTTATTATCTATGATCATTAGGATAACATTTAGATAAGAAGATTATCATTATTCTATGATAATTAGATAGTAGTAATAATTAATTAG